GCTTAATAAAAAGGGAATCTTAATATGTGGTATTTTGTCACTGGCTTCTTTCACTTAGCATAATATTTTTAAGTTTATTGATATGATAGCATGGATCAGTGTTTAATTCTTCCTTATAGCCAGATGATATCCACTTATATAGCTATATCACATTTCATTTTTCCACACACTTATTAATGGGCATTTGAGTTATTTCTACTCTTTAGGTATTCTAATCTTGATATGAACATCCATATACACATTTTGTACATATATGTATTTTTTCATTTCTGAGTATAGACCTAGGAGTGGGAATTGCCGGATCATATGAGCTCAATGTTTAACTTCTAGAGAAACTTCTAGAATGTTTTCCAAAATGGCTGTGAAACTTTTTACTCCTACTAGAACCTATGAGAGTTCCACTTTGCTGTCTGTTCTCCAAAGCTTGTATGACTTTCTAAATAGCCCCCCTCGCAGGTGTGAAGTGCCATTTTACTACAATTTTGGTTTTCACTTCCCCAGTGGCAAATGATGTTGAGCATCTTTGCATGTAATTGCTCATCATTTGTATCCATTCTTTAGAGCAATGTGTTTAAATCCTTCACCCATTTTTAATTGGATTAGTTTCATTTTTATTCTTTCATTGTAAGTTTACCTCATTTGTTTTTGTTTGTAAATTGGCCCTTTTCTGCCTTCCTTAAAGTTAGTTTTTTAAAAAAAATTTTAAAGATAAATAGTTCTTATTTAAGGTGTACAACATGATGTTTTGATATATGTATACTTTGTGAAATGATTAGCACAAACAAGCTAATTAATGTATGAATTACGTCACATAGGTATTTTTTATGTGCAACAAGAATATTTACAATCTACTCTTTCAGCAAATTGTGTGCACACAATCTAAGAGAGGAAAAGAGGCTTGCTCCCCTCCCCACATCCCCTTCTTTTTGCTCTTGCTGCTCTTGCTGTCTCCTGCCGTCATGGACAGTTGCCCTTCAGCTGAGCCAGCTGATTATGGACTGAAACTTCTACAAACTGTAAGCTAAACAAGCCTTTCCCTCTTTAGTTTTGAGGGTGACGTATTTTGTCTCAGCAATGTGAGAGAAATAATCAAGACTGGTATTTTAAAAGAAAAAGGCCATGGACCATATTATTGAAAAATTAATTTAATGGTGTTTTTGTTGATCTTAGAAATTTTTTCTTTTCAGATCTTCCTGTCAGTCATGGAGTTGATATTGAGGATATAAAGTGCACCTACACAGAAATTTTAACTATTCAAAGCCAGAGTGAACCAGAATGCAATGAACCAGGTAGAAAATGTGAATAAATCATTATACTTATCAAAGATCACCTACATATTCATAATAATCTATTACAAATCAGTTTTCATGTTTAAAATTTTATTACTATAATTCTTGGTTTTTTATTGACCTTGTTATATTTGTTGTCAGAATCCTACCAGCTTCAAAAATGAATCATATATAGAGGAGATTAGAGAGGTGAAATGGAGGAGCATTGATGTTAAAAATAGAAATTTTAGTAAAATATTGTAACTCATTAAATAACATTTTATTAGTAATAATTCTGATCTTTGTTATACCTTCTAAAAATTTAACTTTAGTCCCCCCAAGGAATCCTATCATTCTTTGCTCTGTCATTATTCTCTTAGAAATTTTGAAACCTCAGAATTGTCTTTTGCTTCAGTATAGTGCCAAGTTGTGTTATTTCTTAAGTATATTGATGATATTATTATTTAGTTACATCTGTGATTGATCAAATTAATAATCTATTTGGAAGTTTACTGCTTTATTTATGAAAAATGATAAAACTACACTATTTTAACAGTGAATGAGTTTCAAAGTCAAATCTGTCATTCTATAGTTCTCTGTGAGGCCATCTAGAGTCAAGACTCCTTAAGATGAAGAATTATTCTTTATTATAGTACTTGTTTCACATCACCAACATTTAGATTAAAACAGCACTATCTCATGAATAGTGATAATATAAACTGTCAGAATTGAAGCCATGTGATATGTAAAGTTCTCAGAACTTTTAAAAAAGTAAAGCCAGTAAAATTTAGCTATCAATGTATTTTTAAAGATCACCACTATTGCCAGGGTCAGTGATTCCCATCTAGTTGTGAGCCTGAGGTAGTAGGATCACAAATTTGATGCCAGACTGGTTAGGAAGACCCTGTGTGAAGAAAAAAAAAAAAAGGCTGGTGATATAGCTCAGTAATGTAGTGCTTTCCTAACATGTGTGAAGCCCTGAGTTCAATCCCTAGTAATGAAAAAAGAATCATGATTATTATAGGTGAGATGCCATGTGATATATAGAGTCTGCCAAAAAAAATGTATACATCAGGGAAAAAAACCTGTATAAATTTTAAATTTACTAAATTTATCATTACATTATGAGACTAATATTTGGCCTCTGTGATTTCAAGAGGCACTCAAAGTAGTGTCCATTAGCTTCTATATATTAATATGGCAAATGTCTGAAGTGCGTATACATTTTTTGGCACATTTCATATATGTAATTCCTTTTATAGATGAAAATTTAGGATTTGTTTTATTTCTCAAGTAATCCAAATTTCTTTTAATTGAAATATTTGTGTTGTAACAAAATGATCAAACATAATAATTGTTTACAAAGAGTTCTAAATTTTATTTTATTTAATGTCAGGTAATTTTAAATTTTCAGATATTCTAGGAGAGTCAGGAAGAGGATTAACTCAGCTACACCAAACAAGCCAACATTCTCTAGTGAATTCATCATGTCTGGGACTTCAGACATTTTCATTTTTTGCAGCTTCCTTGTATACAACATGTCAGTCATTGCCATTTTCTTTTGTTTGTAAAATGTAAGTAAGAATTATATCTAGAACCCAACTTGCAATTCAGAACAAGATACTTTAACTGTAATATTTCCACATAAAGGCAATTTCCAGAATACTTGTATGAAAAAATGTAAAATAATATAGTGTCTATTATAAGCAACTGGAGAGAGTATGAGTATACATATTTGATTTTATGTATACAGCATCTTTTGAAAGGGATATGAAAAATAACACTGGTTGTGTCCCAAAGACAATTATGTAACCTAGTAATACCAATAAGAAAATTTTCAGTCTAGTCTTTTAAGCATTTAGAGTTTTGAATGTTAACATGGTACTATTAAAAATAAATAATTTGAAAATTTTAAGATACAGACGTTGAATTTCTATGCTTAAGACGTTGCCATTGGACACTTGGCAATGGTGAGGCCGCTATTGGTACTCACTGCCATGAAAGACAGTTCATGATGTATCAGTTTGCTAGGGCTGCCAGAACAAATACCACAGGCTGGTTGGTATAAACAACAGAAAGTTATTTCTTCAATTTTGAAGGCTAGGAATTCAAGAACAAAGGCCCACAGGATTGGTTTCATTTTATTTGGCTTATGAATGGCCATCATTTCCTTTTGTTCCTAGGGTCTTTATCCTGTCTACATCCTAACTACTTCTTATAAGCATACCAATCATGTAGGATTAGGGTGCACCTTAATGATGCCATTTAAGCCTCTTGGTAAACCCTGTCTCTAAATATAGTTACATTTTGAGATAGCTAGGTTAGGGCTTCAACATATGCATTTAGAGAGAGGCAGAATTAAGCCCATGGTCAGTGCTTTAAAGCTCTGAACTAGAGCCAGGCAATCTATCTTTAGGGTTTACTAACTTTATAAGCATAAATTGCTCTGTGCCTCAGTTTTTAAATCTGATTGTGTCTATTTTGCAAGGTTCTTACAAGATCTTTTAAAATATTTGTCATAGATCTCTGGACAGGAGCAGCCAAAGATCACAGAGTGACATGCAAATGGATGACCAATAGATGAGTGTCCATTAGTTTACTCTTCTAAGGAATCAGGAGTCATATCCCATTTCTAACAGAGGATATCCCCTAACCTGGTTCACCTTAGATATAATCTCAGTGCTGGGAAAACCATACATGTTGAACCAAAGCTTACTCCATAAATCTGTTCAGTATACCCCACTGTTACTGTACACAGTGGTCTAAAGTCCTAGAATTGATATTACAGGGCTAGATCATAGTATTTTAGTTGGAGCCAAAATTATATAATGGGCTGGGGAGATAGCTCAGTGGCATAAGCGCCTGCCTGGCAAGCACAAGGTCCTGAGTTCGATCACAACAACAAAAAGTACAAAATTGTATAGCTCAGTAGCTCAGCATATATGACCTTTAACATAATCTGAGATAGCTTTTGTTGCTTACTTATACCAGGTGACATACATCTAAGTTATTATTTTCTAAGATAGATTAGTCTGTTATTTTAGAATAAATTTACACTGGTCCTGCTGCTTTTGCCATTTACAAAAATGGAAACAGAGCCAGTATTATCTACTTTCCCATAATAAACTTGGAATTTAATGTATCCTAAAATAACTCACATTCAGGAAAATCTGTAATTCCTTAATGAAACAATGTAAGCCTGGAAATATGGAGGCTGTGTACTGAGTTTGAAATTTAGTTGTGACTGGCTCATCTGTCAGAGAAGTAGCCTCTTAATTACTGCAAGTAACTGGAATCAAGCCTCTAGGATTCATTACATGCTTAGAATTCTGTAATAGTCTCAGGAAGGTATCCAGCCATTAAATAGAACAGCCAGCACTGAAGGGCATAAGTATATCATAATTTGTTCATTAAGAATTATTTTGCATTGGTGAGGTAAATTTATGCTATACAGAACTCTATCATGAACTACTAATACTTTTAATGTCCATGTTACATATGAACTCTGAAAAGATGTTGTGACAAATAGGAAAACTACCTATAATTTCTTTAAATATTTTAGTCCCTTTGTCAAGGTAAAAAACAGTTTCAGGATATATTATTCTGTCTATATTAGGCTGTTTTACTCCATGTAGCCTAATCCATCTGTTATAGTAGGTTGGCAATTGAAAGCACAAACTAGCAGAATTAGTATAATCTTGATTTCAGTTTTACATTAAAAGCATTTATTTAACTATAAAATCATTTTAATAACACATATTTATTATTATAACTCAAATATCTAATGGAAATTGGTGAAGCAAGTCTTATCTAATGCATTATAATTTGGCAAAGTTGGAACAAAAATGACTTTTAAATTAGCTAATGGATCTAAAGCTATTTGAAACAACTCTAAGTTATTTTATCACTACTTCATTTACCAGCAAGAGAGAAATCACCTCCATTGATTTTGATTATAAAAATGTAAAACTCTTACTTTTTTTTTTTTTTTCCAGTGGAAACGGGAATTGAACTCAGGCCCTTGTGCTTGCCAGGGAAGCATTTATTCTACTGAGCCATCTCCCTGGCCCTGAAACTTTTACTTTTAAAAATAACTCATTGGGGTTGGGGAGACGGCTCAGTGGAATAAGCGCTTCCCTGGCAAGCGCAAGGGCCTGAGTTCAATCCCTGGTTCCATAAATAAATAAATAAATAAATAAATAAATAAATAAATAAAAATAACTCATAGTTTAGGCATAAAACTAAAAATGAAAAGTGTTGAATTTTTTTAAAGGAAGAGAAAATAATAATCTTAATTTCTTTGTATAGTTAATTATTTTTATTTCAAAATGTAGAATTTTGGTTGGAAATAATGTTCAATTAATAAATATTTTTAGTGCCTGTTACATGCAGACTCTGTTAGGCCAGGTGTGGTGGCCCATACCTGTAATGCCAGCACTCAGGAGTCTGAGGCAGGCGGTTCATTGCAAGTTTGAGACCAGCTTGGGCTACAAAGTGAGCTCAAGGCCAGCCTGAACTGCACAGTGGGACCCTGTCTCAAAAAGATCAAGGTGGGGGGGAACTGTTTAGGAGGCTAATAGAAAAATATGTATAAGTTTTTATTTCCTGATTATTATTATTATTAACTGATTAGCAACTTTGAATAAATTTGTATTACCAAAGAATTTATCAAATTCAGGTATGTCTTTGGAATGTACCAGTAAGAACAAAATATTTGCCAGATTATATGTGGCTAACCTAAATATTTCTCCTTCCTTTCACTTAAAAATATATGTCTATGATCAAGTGTCTGATTATCAAAGAAACCTTGGTTAGAGTCAGACATTGTCTAGAGTGTCACTTTCAAGCCGGGATTTTTAAATTATGTAGGTAAACTAGATAGTTCAGGCATAAAACATGACTTTCTCCACTGTAGGTTGTCGAGTTAACTACCAGTACTTATATCAGCATACTATATAGTATATGTCCCATTTGAACAGAGAAATAATACGATTAATTGTCAATCAGGAGAAGTGATAAGTTTGCAACATAAAAGGTTTGTGAATTAATAGAGTCTCCCTTTCCAAGGCTGGTAGTTTCATAGCTACTGAAAGTTGTAACTTATAGTTTTTTGTTTGTTGGTTTTTTTGCACTGAGTATCATTTATCTTCAAAGTAGCTGTTTCAAAAATACTGATTTAGTTGCCAAGGAGATAGCTCAGCAGCAAAAATATTGTCTCTTGGCTGAGGATCAGAGACAGTCCAGAAGTTCTGTAGAGAATGGACTTGAGTACAAGAAATTAAAAAAAAAAAACAACTGAAGCTACTGTTTGTGTGGTAAGCATGGTAATTTTAATAAGGTTTTACTTTTATTTTTGGTGGTTTATAGGGTTTGTACTTTCATAGTTCATGGAAGAGTATGCTAAAGCTCTTCCCTGTCAACACCCTCTGGCTCCAGAGTACATTGAAGGAAGTAGAGGTAGGAGTAATTTATAGGCAGGTAGGAGTAATTAAGAGTTTTAAAAAAACCACATCTTCCTTGAGAAGCAAGAAGTATTTGGAATTTGTTCTATAGAGCTCTTATTTCTGTTTAGATGTTCATAGTTAATTTTTTACTTGCTTTTGAATATGAAAGTTACTTAGTAAAATACTTAACACTTAATGCAAAAGGACTTAATATTATTAATGTATTCAACTTTAATCTTTTTCAGTAGCTTGCTTACTGCTGAAGAAAAGGCTAATGAATGCTATATGGTATGGCAATTAGAAAGATGCAGAAATTTCTTGAACTCATTTTTACTTACAGGTAAGCAGAAAGTAGAGACAAAAAATATAATGAGCAGAAATGAGAGATACTGTATTTCGTTGAGCATTTCTTAACACAGAATATCTATAACTTGGCACAAAGCTAAATTATCCAGTTATCTGCCGAAAGGTTCATTATGCTAAATGCAGGAGTATATGACAAGATCTTGATTTTGCTGATTTTTCTGGTTAAAATATCTACACAAAGGACAAAAAGAAAAAATACAGGATGTACATAAAACAGTTCCATATGTATAGTTTGTATTTTCAAGTTCAATTAATTAGTTGTTTAAAAATTCTACATAGCTGATATGAAAAATAAAGTTTAGATTTTAGATTCCCAAGTTTTCCAAAAAGGGTATTTAAAAACATGTTAACAAAGTTTATGTATAATGTAACAAAATAGTTTTCAGTTAAGTATAAATCTAATGTGCATGTTCAAAAATTTATCTAAATAAGTTAAACTGTTTTCTATATCTGAATTTTTCCATTATGTAAGTAGACCTGATACAGTATTCTCTTACTTGTTACATTTGGAGGCCAAAATCAAAGTAAAAGCAAGAACACTGGGAAGTAAGAAAACATTTAAAAAAGTGACTTTTATTCTAATGATTTCTGCTATAAATCCTTCCTGGAGAAATATACTCTAGTCAATGCTTTGAAAAACTTTCACAATGTTCAAAGAGGTTGGGCTGGGGAGATAGCTCCGTGGTATAAGCTCCTGCCTGGCAACCACAGTGATCCAAGTTTGATCCTCAGTGCTGAAAAAAAAAAAAGTTCAAAGAGGCTGACAGACAAAAGTCACAAAATATATAGCCATCACTAGTGAGAGTCTAATGAACAACTAGTGATGTTCATTAGAACAGTGAACATCAAATCAGATGTATGTAATAAAATTGTCAGGCAGATAGTGCAAGATATGTTTAAGGTAAAAAGGTAAGAGAAATGTGAAGGAGAAAAGAAAGAGGAAAAACAAAAGAAATGATCAATTGAAATGCAAATAAGAAGTAAGTCTATGAAAAAATATTCAACATCAGTGGTCCTTTGAGAGATGCAGAATAAAACAGCGTTGAAATTCCATCTCAGCACAGAAAGAATGGCTATTGTCAATAAATCCACCAATAACAAATACTGGCAGGTCTGTTGGGGAAAAAGGAACCGTACTCCTCTCTGTAAGTAGGAGTGTGGACTGGTACAACTACTCTGCAAATCAGTGTGGAGCTTCCTCAAAAAACTAGGACTAGAGGTTCCATTTCACCCAGTTATTCCCCAAAGTATCTTTGGGATGATACTTTTGGGTATCTTCCCAAAAGTTTTAAAAGCATCAACCACAGCTATATATGCACTTCCGTGTTTATAGTGGCACAGTTTGTCATAGCTAAATCTTGGAAACAGCCCAAATACTCATCAACCAAGGAATGTAATAAAGAAGATTTTTTATGAAATGGAGTACTATGCAGCTATAAAGAAGGATATTGAATGGCTAGGTAAGTGGATGCATATTGAGACCATACTTTTAAGTGAGATGAATCACCACACATGTGAATGCCACATTGTCTCTCTAGTGTGAGAAACTGAAAGTGTAAATAAAGACCACAGTGTTATTAGGTATTGTGAGATAGGAACAAAATGTTTAAATGGGGAGGGGAGCAAAAGAAGGAGAGGGAAGTGGCAAGGAAGCAAAAGTGAGAAGAGAAGGAAAAAATAATGGAAACAAAGCTTTTGCAAATGGGAGAAGTTGAAGGAAAGGTAGGCGAATGGGAAAAAGGGAATCAAGTTATATTGTGTGCAGGTACAAACTATGATGAATGTGATCATTATGTATATCTAAAATATACCAAAAAATCTGATTGGAGAAAAGAGGGATCAAACAGATTGGTATCAGAACCATGTAAATCTTCCAGAAATAAATAAAACAAGTAAAAAAAATTGATAGATTCAGTAGTATATTATTTCCCAGTTAGATATTAATGAATTAAAAGGCATACTTGAAGAAATTATCCAGAATCTAGTAGACGAACAGAGATGAAAGCTATGAGAGGCTAAAAAACATAAAGGATTGAGTGATTCAGGTAGAGATTACACAAAATAAGAAGGTCACCTTTTTGAAGTGATGGCTAAAGTTTTCTAGAATTGCTGATAGACATCAGTCCACTGATCTACACACTCAGTGACTTCCATGTGGAATGGAAAGAATCACCCCGAACCTGTCATAGTAGCTCTATACCTCACCAAAGGCATAATGTAAGAATGAAAAATGCCTTCTCAATGACACCAATGGAAAGCCAGAAAACTTCTTTAATATACAAAGAATAAACTATAATTTTATGTTCCGCAAGAGTGTAAGTCAATAAGGTTTAAAAGAAGATATTTGCAGAAGTTGAAACAGCAGAGACTTTCACTAAAAGAAACTGTAAAGGATACTAATGAAGCAGAAGGAAGTGATCCCTAATGCAAAGTCTGAAAACTACAGAGGAATGATGAGGAAAGATATTTATACAGGTGGTAAATGTCCTGACAATGCACTAGTAATGGTGCTGTAATAGGTTTTCAAGGATAAAAGTGCTAGGTTAGACAGCAAGTATGAAAGCTTCATAAACTATAACCTTATTAAATTATCATAATATTTTAGAGAAGGTTGATTCTTCTTTGCTTGGTAGTGAGTGCAATTTTTTCTTTTTCCATATATTCCCCTGTATGAAAAAATTGTGTATTTCACAGTACAGAAATGAAAATGAAACTAAATATTGATACGTTTAAATTCCAACTCTAGGGAGTGACAAGATAGCTGCATAGTCTTAAGTGCCTGCCTGGCAAGCACAAGGACTCTGGTTTGATCCCTAGTACCACATGCCATGCAGGCCTTGCGCCCAGCTGACCACTGAAACCAGGTGTGGTGCCACCGGTCTGTAATCCCAGTGCTAGGGAGGCTGAGACAGGAGGATCACTGTAAGTCCCAGCTGTGTAGTCCTGTACCAAGTAAATAAATAAATAAATAAATAAATAATCTTTAAAAAAGAATGTCTATTTCATAAGAGTGTGTGTCCTCTCAAAGGCTATAAGCATACATATTTGTAGCAGCTGCATTTGAAAGAGCCAAGAATAAGAACAACTTACATCTCCATGAGCAAGTGAATAGATAAACAAATTATGCTATGTCCATGTAATGGGACATTACTCAGTAATCAAAAGAAATGAACATTCTATTTACACATTTTTAAATAACATTTTAGAAATGGTGAACAGATTAATGGGTCCCATTAATAAATCTTACATTCTTCAAAACACTATCCAATCTATCAATTTAGTTATTGAGAATGGTTTAAAAAATATATAATTCTTTCTCTTGCTAAGTATACAATAACTTCTTAATGTTTCCAAAAATTGACTTCTGTTTTTATAGTAAATTGGGCTTTTATAAATATTAGCATCTTGAAAATAAAATACCAGATACAATTTCAAGTATCACTTTTTTATGTTATAGTATATTTCATAAAGAAATTCCATCATAGTTCCATTTATTGTGCTTTTCATTTCTTTTGCCCTCTAAACTATTTTTATTTGTTCATTTTTTTTCTAAGTGCCAAGAATTCAAGGGCTCAACAGCCAGTATTCGATTACAGAGCTGAAAAAGGTATTTTATATGGAAGAAAAGAAGCTTGTGGTTAATTATGTGAAGGCAAAGTGGTGCAAAAAAGCAGGACTCAGTCCAGTAACAAGAGAAACTTTGGAATGTCTAAGTGCATATTTGTGTCATGATCGTCTGTCTTCTAATAACATGGAAATGCAGATGACTTTGCCTACAGAAGTACTTCAGTTAGCATGTAAGTGCCTAATAGGAACTGTAACTTGTGTCAACATGTTTAAATGAGAAAATGTTAGATACTGGATTTCTTCTTAATGATTAGGGAAATATTAAGTTCTGGCATTAAATATTGGCTCTGTTCTGCCAGAATGTATGAGTTTGGGCTTCTTTAGACCCCATTTTCTTCCTCAAAAAAGAGGAACTAACTGTTAAGTCTATTCTGTCCTAAAATTCTATAGTCTCAGTTTCAGTTTCTAGCCATTTTCAATTAAAGTGACTTAATTTCCTTTTACAGATGATTAATTACTTGTATAGTTCTTGTGTCTAGGCACAAACGACCATTCTGTAGTAAGTGATTTTTTGACCTGACAGCTAAACTTTGGCATTCAATAATATCTAGCAATCTCTCTTCAAAAATACAAAAATCCTTCTGCATTACTAAAAAACTTACTAATTTAGCTTTTACTTATATAATTTAAGTAGGCAGAAATATCTTTTGAGTGTTTGCTTTTGTTATTTTTTGCTGTAAATTCTATCATAGCAAATGGCATATGTATGTAATATATGTATGAATTGCTTTATGATTAGTTTGTGTAATTAGTAATTTTTAATATTAAAAGATTTTGGAAAGTTTTTAATTAATATATTACAGAGTAATAATTATATTTAAAAGTGATTTTTAGAAACAATAATCTGCATAAGGAATGGGGATGAAAATTCTCATCAGAGAAGTATGTTTCAGAGAAACATTGGTACAGAGAACTTTGGGTGTGGCAGGGAGGAAAACAGATGAATGGCTTATACCAAGGAAATACAGTCAGTCCACCCCAAACTTTTGAAGGCATCCATGGTGTTTTTCATTTCTTTTATATTGTGCACTATTTCAATTTGTTCATTAGTTTTTTAATTTTTATTTTATTATTTTTTTTTCAGTACCAGGGATCAAACTCAGGACCTTGAGCTTGCCAGGCAGGCGCTTATGCCACCAAGCTGTATCCCTGGCCCTCATTATTTTTTTTTTTTTGCCATAGTTTTATTGATAAACAAATAGCAATGAGACAGTTTCAAATCAAACCTCATTAGTTTTTTTTAAGTGCCAAGAAATTAAGAGCCTAACAGGAAATATTCTCTTATAGACCTGAAAAAAAAATAAGAATTTTAAATGATTTGGTCAGTTTGTTAGACAAAGGGAAGAGGGTTTTATGGGGTCTTCAAACATCTAGATAATATTAATATTTAAAGTATTATAATATTCTCTGTGTAATCCAGTAGAACTGTGATAGTACTATATACTGTAAGTCTGTATTTAAGGAACAGTAACTTTCTGGACCCCACAGCCAAACTGTCAGAGTAGGAATACTTAAAAAGAAAATAGTAAATGAAAATCATTAGGAAAATGAATCAGTAATTCCTACTGACCTGCTAACAAGAGTTTATCAAAAAAAAAAAAAAAAAATCTCATAAGCGCTTGCCTGGCAAGCACTAGGGCCAGAATTCAATCCCTGGTTCCAAAAGAAAGAAAGAATATATCAGAGGTTGCAGATTGGTAGCACTCAGGCCATATTCAGCCCGTACATTATTGACTGACATAGTATAATATACATTACCTAACATTTCAAATTTGGGGGATTTAGCCAGGTGTGGTGACACATGCCTGTAATCCCAGTATTTGGTAGCTTGAGGCAGGAGGATTGCTGTGAATTTGAAGCCAGTCTAGGTTACCTAGTGAGTTCAAGACCAGCCTGAAGTATGGGGTGAGACCGTGTCTCAAAAAAGGGAAAAAAATCAAATTTGGGACATTTTACACATTGATATGTATGTTGAGTTTGTGTTTAAAATTCTAAAAAAACTGGACTCAAATTCTCATATGACAGCAGTTAGCCAGGGCCGTTACCAACTCACCACTTCAAACAGACCACATACTCTCCAACTCACTGTAGATTTCAGTACTCAGTGATTGAAGCCAAGCATCAGTTGGCATTTATATTACTTTTAGATATTGGCTTTACATTTAGTACAATTAAAGAAAATTAAATGTTTCTTGTATCAATATCTTTAATGCAAGCAAAAACAAACGATCATAGGCTATGCTTTTTGTAGGACAAGAATATAAACCTTGTCTTCCAAAGATTATGATTTAAGGACTAGCCATATACTTTGCTCATTTAAGTTACGTAGTTGGCCCTATAAGTGTGTAAGGGTTTTTGAAATCAACTTTATAAGGTTACTTTATGTATAATAAACTATACTCACTTTGTACAGTTTGATACATCTGAATAAGTTATGTGTATATATGAATCTGAGATACTAATGCCACAACTAAGATATAGTAGAATATTTTCATCACCTAGAATTTCCTTGTGCCCCTTTGCAATCATTCTCACTCCATTCCCCTTTTTTCCCCATCAGTCTTCACCTCTGCCTCTTGTGAACCCCTCTTCTACTTCTGTAACTATATATTAACTTCTCCTGTTTTAGAATGTCATTTCCAGTATTAGATAGTATGAATTCATTTGTGACTGGATTTTTATGTTTAGTATAACATTTTTCTTATCACATTTCCATGATGAATAGACCACTAGTTCATTTCTTTCTGTTGCTGAGGAATTTTCCATTGAATGGATATAGCAGAGTATATCACTTCCTACAATTTCTTTCCTGACTTTTTATTATTGTGAATAAAATTGTTGTCAGTGTTCTTATATAAGTCTTTTGGGGATTTTATCATTTTTCTTGTGTGAAATTCTAGAAGTAGAACTGTTGAATTTTATGATAGGTGTGTGTTTAATTGTATAAGAAACTACTAAATTGCTTTCCAGTGTATGTCACCATGGTACATTCCCTCCAGCAGTGTGCAAATTTCATTTACTCTGTGTCCTTATTACACTTGGTAGTAGTTATTCTAGTGGTTACATTGTAGTATTTAATTGTGTTTTTAATTTGTATTTCCATAAGGTCATGTGATGGTGAAAATCTCTTTACATGCTTAATGGCCTCTATAATTCTTCAATTTTTAAATATGACAGCTTTATTGTGAAAGAATTCAAATATTATAAACTTGACCCACTAATAGCATGCTCTTCACTGGTGTTTAATATTATCACAAAATGGTACAATTACCATAGACCATTTTAGAACTGTTTTGTTTTGTTTTGTTTTGTTTGTTTGTTTGGTTTGGTTTTTTATTTTGGCAGTACTGGAGATTGAACTCAATACCTTGTACTTGCCAGATGGGCACTTATGCTGCTAAACTATCTCTCCAGCCCTAGAACTCTTTCATCACACCAAAAGACACCTCATATCTCTTAACAACTATTCTACATAGTGCTTGGCTATGGGACTACTTACACATTTTCTGGCTCTGTGAAGTTACCTCTATCAATATTTCATAAAAATGGAAATGTGGAATTTTGTGACCATGTGGCCTTTTCCCTTAGTGTGTTTTCAAGATTCATCAGTGTTGTAGATTATATATATCCTGTACAAAGAATTGTTCAAATATTTTGTCAATTTTTTTCCATAATTTTATTGAGAAACAAATAGCAATGAGACAGTTTCAAACCAAATTGGTAGGACACTTTCAAAAATTAACACATTGCATACATTCTTCCTAGTGGTTAATTGCTGTAAAAGATGTGGACATGATACCTTATTTACAAACACTATTAGAACAAATCCCTCTATTCATAAAGAGAATGCAACTATATATCTATCCTAACCATTTTGAATACACAGATACAAAATG